CATCCTCTGTCGTCCCCTTCTCCTGCCTTCAATCTTTCCCAGCATCAGGGTCTTTTCTAATAAGTCAGCTTTTTGCATCAGGTGGCCAAAGTATTGGAGTTTCAGCTTCAACATCAGTCCTTCCAATGAATATTCAGGACTGATTTCCTTTAGGATGGACTGGTTGGATCTCCTTGCAGATGTCCCAAGATTCTGCCCCCAAACGAGGCCCACAGACAGGAACTGAGCACCCAGGCTCACAGCGGGGCTGGAAGAGGTTACACAGCCGCTGCCATAACCTCTGGACCTGAGCCTGGGCCAGGGCTCAGTGGGAACCCAGAGAGCTTCCCTTTGGGGTGCCGGGGGACTGTCCAGCCACGGGGATGACCAGCCTGCCCCGCACCCCCACACTCACCTCCACAGAATACGTCCGGTTCCTGGGGGTCCTGGACCGCCGGCAGCCCCTCCAGCAGGGCCAGCATGACCAGCAGGGCCATGGGCTGCAGCGAGCGCGCCATACCTGCACCGCCTCCTCTCCACGACCTCCGGCCTCTGGGTGTCCCGCCGGGAGACCCAGCAGATGCCTGACCACCCTGGTCACCCGGGAGACCAGCCCTGCCCTGGGCGCCACACCTGTGCCCGCATCCCGGTGCACACAGCTGCCTCCTCTGCCAGGCGGGCCACCGCCCCGGCCCCGCCCCAGGTCCCCATCCAGTTCCAGGAATCCCACCTCCTTCCCGCCTGTGTCCCAGCCCTGGGTCCCCACGCCCTCTCCGGGTCTCCTCGCCCCAGCCCTGGGCAGGAGGCCCGGTGAGCCAGGCCACCCGTGCTTACACCCCTGGCGTGCAGACCCTCATCCTGCAACAAAGATGTGAGGTGCCCCGGGTCACTGGGCCCTGGAGGGCCTTGTTCCCAACACTGCTCCAACGGGCGAAAGGCATGCCCTCCTGGGCATTCTCAGAAGGCCCCGAGAGTGTCCCAGCCCTTCCCAGGCTGTGGGGACACTGGTCCTACCCCCCCAGGCTGTGGGGACACTGGTCCTACCCCTCCCCAGGCCTGTCTCCCAGTCCCCCCCATCAATCCTATTTCTTGCCACCTTGTCCCACTCACCCCACAAGCGGATGAAAGGGGCGGATGAATTAAGCATCACATTTACATTTTAACAGGAACTGCCTTAAACATCAGCAGGGCATCCTTTTTTTTTTTTTTTTTGCAAATGAGTCTCATGCAAACCCCATAGGAAAAGTGGGCCAGGTGCAGGCCCGTGGGGAACTGGGCCCCAGGCACACCCTGCCTGCCTGTCACCCCAAACCCAGCTGCAGGCTGTGGGCAGAGCATGGTGGAGAAAGAAGGATGGCACCTTGGTTCAGTGAGGGAAATGTTTTTTTTTAATTTCCTCCAAGTAATCTGAATAATTTCCTCCATATTCCCCAGATCCCTGCTTTCTCTGAGTGAGCAGAAAATGCCAGCTCTGTAGCGTGCTTCTGAGCACCTGGTCTCTAGGATGCTGGGCCATTGAAGGTGAAACTGGGGGGTATTTCGGGGGGATGGGGGGAGTGGGAGAGATGAAAGAGAGAAAAAAGAAGGACGAAGGGAAGGAGTGGGGGAGGAGGGACACTGTCGCCTCGCGGACTCGCCATTCCTCTAGGGAGCCGGGCACCCTTGACTGGAGAAGACGTTTTGGGAGACCAAGTTTGAGGTACTCACTCTTTATTGCTACTGGGGTGTCACTGCCCCCAGGCTGTCTGGGAGAAAGATGAGATTTAAGTACACATCACTGTACACCCAAGTGGCGCTACTGGTAAAGAACCCGCCTGCCAATAGAGGAGATGTAAGAGACACGGGTTCGATCCCTGAGTTGGGAAGATCCCCTGGAGCAGGGCACAGCGACCCACTGCAGTATTCTTGCTTGGAGAATGCCATGGACAGAGGAGCCTGGCAGACTACAGTCCATGGGGTCGCAAAGAATCAGACACGACTGAAGTGAGTTAGCATGCACACGTATAGACACACTCACCCCAGTGCACACACGTCTCCATGGCTACATCGAGAAGGATGAGTTGATACCATATCCAACCCAGTCCAGCGCCTCAGGTTCTTTATAAACTTCTCCGTTTGTGGCGTTACCAAACCCCTTCTCCGACAACAAGGGCCCCCCCTTCCACTTCCCTCACAGGGTGTCGGCGGCTCAGCTCCCTGCCTGTCCCCCCAAGCGCCCAGTCAGCTTGTGGCCCTGCTGCCCATCGCTTGGCCCCAGCTGTGCCGGGTCATCTGGGCCCAAGGAGCTGGGCTTGGTTCTGATAAAAATAGCCTTGTATTATAGTCACCTTTGGAGGAGTGCCGAAGAATTGATGCTTTTGAACTGTGTTGCTGGAGAAGACTTGAGAGTCCCTTGGACTGCAAGGAGATCCAACCAGCCCATCCTAAAGGAAATCAGTCCTGAACGTTCATTGGAAGGACTGATGCTGAAGCTGAAACTCCAATACTTTGGCCACCTGATGGGAAGAACTGACTCACTGGAAAAGACCCTGATGCTGGGAGGGATTAGGGGCAGGAGGAGAAGGGACGACAGAGGATGAGATGGTTGGATGGCATCACCAACAAACTCAGTGGACATGAGTTGATGATGGACAGGGAGGCCTGGCGTGCTGCAGCCCATGAGGTCGCAGAGAGTCGGACCTGACTGAGTGACTGAACTGAACTGCTATTCACCTTTCCCTCCCATGGTATCACCTAAGGGAGATTTAGCCATTTGCTCACATGCACTGTTTACATTCATAGGACCTTGACTTTACCTTTAAATGGAGCAGCAGTGTGCCCAGCTTAGAGATTCCAGTTCCCAGCTGCGCTGCTCCTAGGTATGGACACTGGACTAATTTCTGGCCAGTGAGATGTAAGCAGGGCTTGGGGGGAAGCAGGACTTCTGAAAAACTCAAAAGCAGGAAGACAGCGACCTTGGGTCCCTCTTGCCTCTCCTTTGTTCTTCTTGCTTCTTCTTTGGAATGTGGATCTGATGCCTGGAACTCCTGCAGGCCTCCTGGGCCCTGAGGCAGCCTCAAGGCGGAAAAGCAGAGCAAGACGCCAGGAGTTTGGATCCTGATGCTGATGTCCACACCAGCCCATAACTGCTGACTTTGGGCCTTGCCTCAATATAAGTGAAAAGTTCATTTCCACCAGGTTTAAGCCATTGTTACTTTTAGTATAAGTTGGTAGAGAGCTGAGTGAAATCCCTAACTGAAAGAGCAGAGAGGTGATTCCCCCCACCACAGGGAAGCTTGTTGGTCCCCAGCACAGAAGTAGCAACTCCAAGGACCCCTGGCCCCTGGACCCAGCTGCTCGTAAAAGGGGAGCACCCCATCCTAGAGCAACCCATCAGTAAGCTGGACTGGGTCCACGTGGCCTGGGGAGTGAGAGCTGAGGCCGCGGAGCCTATAGGAAGAGAGGAGGACGGGGTCTGGGCCCGGGTCCTGCGTAAACTCGGGGAGGGCCGAGGAGCCAGAGAAGGGGAGAGAGCCCCAGGCCCTGTGCGGCCCGGCCCTTCTCCATCAGCCACAGGGGCCTGGATCTGCAGCGGAGACCCAGCTTCCTTGTACCTGCAGGTCCAGCACTCACACAGCCCGGCCCCAGGAAGTCGTCCCTCACCCCCACTGCTCCCCCAGGCCCATATCTGATTCCTTATTAACTCCCTTGATTTTGTCTCCCAAATATTTCTGGATCAGGCTGCTCCTTGCCACCTCCCCCGCGCCCACCTGCTCTGAGGGGCATCCTTCTGGCCGCCCAGCTGCTCAAAGTCCTGCTGGATGTGCCTACATCCCTCGGACCATCCGCCTGTGTTTCGAACGTGGCCAGAAAGAGCTTTCCACAGGCCAGCCTGAGGGTACGGGGAAGGTGGTGTTTGCAGTAAGAGACCGTCCAGTGAACCGTCTTGGGATGTACATCACAGAGGGGATGGTCCTGATGGATTAAGGAAGGAAACCATAGGGACTTGCCTGGTGGTCCAGTGGCTAAGATGCCACACTCCCAGTGCAAGGGGCCTGGGTTTGATCCCTGGTCAGGGAATTAGATCCCACATGCCACAGCAAAGACCTGGTACAGCTAAATAAATTAATAGTAAAAAAAAGAAAAGAAAAGAAAAGAAAGGAAACCATAAAAATACTAGAATAAATTACCAGAGAGTATTTATTACACACCTGTAGAGTGAGGCAAGCCTTTCTAACCATTACCGCCCCCCTCCAAATCATAAAAGAAGAGAGCAAGCACCCCTGTAGTCATGGAAAAATTGAAACCAGGACTTCCCTGGCCCCCCAGAGGTTGAGAGTCTGCCCTTCCACTGCGGGGGGCGCAGGTTTCTTTCCTGATGGGCAACTAAGGCTCAAAAGTCACACAGTGCAGCCAAAAAAGAATAAAATAAAATCAATTGGCAGAAAACAGAAGATTTTTAGGGCCACAAAATGGTTCTGGATGATGCTGTAATGATGTCACTGCACACTTATCCAAACCCATGGCATGTTCCAGAGCAGGAGTGAACCTCAATGCAAACGGCGGACTTTGGACAGTGACCACATGTGATGCACGCTCACCAGCTGTAACAGTAAACCAGACACACAGATAGTGAATGGGGTGCTGATAAAGAGGGGTGACTGCATTTGAGGGGAATGCAGGAGATCTTTGTCATGATGCTCGGTTTTGCTGTGAGCATAAAATTGCTCTAAAAAATAAAGGCTATTAAAAGCAAATGGCACCTTTGCGTTCTCTCTCCCTCTCCCAACATGGCGGCCTCAGCGAAAAAGAAGAAGAAGAAGGGGAAGACTATCTCCCTAACAGACTTTCTGGCTGAGGATGGAGGGACTGGTGGAGGCAGCACCTATGTCCCCAAACCAGTCAGCTGGGCTGATGAAACAGATGATCTGGAAGGGGATGTTTCAACCACTTGGCATAGTAATGATGATGAAGTGTATCAGGCACCTCCAATTGACCATTCCATCCTGCCCACTGCTCCACGGGCTGCTCGGGAACCCAATATGGACCGGAGCCGTCTTCCCAAATCTCCACCCTACACTGCTTTTCTAGGGAACCTGCCCTATGATGTGACAGAAGACTCCATTAAGGAATTCTTTAGAGGATTAAATATCAGTGCGGTGCATTTACCACCTGAACCCAGCAATCCTGAGAGGTTAAAAGGTTTTGGTTATGCTGAGTTTGAGGACCTGGATTCCTTGCTCAGTGCCCTGAGCCTCAACGAAGAGTCTCTAGGTAACAGGAGAATTCGAGTGGACGTTGCTGATCGAGCACAGGATAAAGACGGGGATGATCGTTCTTTTGGCCGAGATAGAAATAGTGATTCTGACAAAACAGATACCGACTGGAGGGCCCGTCCTGCTGCAGACAGCTTTGATGACTGCCTGCCTAGAAGGGGTGATGATAGCTTTGGAGACAAGTATCGAGATCGTTACGATTCAGACTGATATCGTGATGGGTATCGGGACAGTTACCGTGATGGCCCACGCCGGGACGTGGATCGATACGGGGGCCGAGATCACTATGATGACCAAGGTGGCAGAGACTATGACAGAGGCTATGATTCCAGGATAGGAAGTGGCAGAAGAGCGTTCGGTAGCGGGTACCGTAGGGATGACGACTACAGAGAGGCGGGGACTGCTATGAAGACAGATAGGACAGACAGGTCCTAGAGCTCCAGAGATGATTACTCTCAGGATGATTATAGGCAGGATAATAGAGGTCCCCCCCCAAAGGCCCAAACTGAACCTAAAGCCTCGGAGTACTCCTAAGGAAGATGATTCCTCCGCTAGCACCTCCCAGTCCAGTCGGGCAGCCTCTATCTTTGGAGGGGCAAAGCCTGTTGACACAGCTGCTGGAGAACGAGAAGTAGAAGGGCGGCTACAGAAGGAGCAAGAGAAACTGCAGCGTCAGCTGGATGAGCCAAAACTAGAACGACGGCCTCGGGAGAGACACCCAAGCTGGTGAAGTGAAGAAACTCAGGGACGGGAACGATCAAGGACAGGAAGTGAGTCATCACAGACTGGGACCTCAGCCACATCTGGCAGAAATGCACGAAGAAGAGAGAGTGAGAAGTCTCTAGAAAATGAAACCCCCAATAAAGAGGAAGACTGTCAGTCTCCAACTTCTAAGCCTCCCAAACCTGAACAGCCTCTAAAGGTAATACCAGCCCCTCCACCAAAGGAGAATGCTTGGGTGAGGCGAAGTTCTAACCCTCCTGCTCGATCTCAGAGCTCAGACACAGAGCAGCAGTCCCCTACAAGTGGTGGAGGGAAAGTAGTTCCAGTTCAACCACCTGAGGAGGGATAGGCAAGGAAAGATGAAAATAAAATAGATGGGGTAAGTGCCCCAAAAGGCCAAAGTGGGAACTCCAGCCGTGGTCCGGGAGATGGAGGGAACAAAGACCACTGGAAGGAGTCAGACAGGAAAGATGGCAAAAGGGATCACGACTCCAGATCTGCACCTGAGCCAAAGAAAGCTGAAGAAAATCCAGCCTCGAAGTTCAGTTCTGCAAGCAAATATGCTGCTCTCGCCATTGATGGTGAAGATGAAAATGAGGGAGATTACACTGAATAGACCTCTGCATTCTGTGCTTTCTCCTAGTCTCCCTCCACCCTGGAACATTCGAGAGCAAATCAAACCTCTATCCAGACAAGACAAAATAAAACTCACCATCTCCTGGAAAAAAAAAAAAAGCAAATGGCAACCCACTCCAGTACTCTTGCCTGGAAAATCCCATGGATGGAGGAGCCTGGTGGGCTACAGCCCATGGGGTCGTAAACAGTCAGACACAACTGAGCGACTCCACCACCACCATTAAAAGCAAAACCAGAAAATTAAATCTAACCACCTAGTTGAAAACTGAGTAAGAATTTGAACAAAAGATGAGCAAAACAGTGCCTTCCCGGGTGGACCCGGGTCCAAGACGCTGCCCTCCCGACGCAAGGGGCCCGGGTTCAGTCCCCGGTCAAGGAACCAGGTCCCACACGACGCAATGAAGATCCACCACGCCAAGCTAGCCTTGGGAAAAATGCAGTGTTTCTGGAAGGAACCTAAGATAACTGAATATCCGCCTCCTCTGGGTTGGAGAACTGGTGTCTGGAGAATCAGATCATGAAGAACAGGATTTCCTGAGTGACAGGAGTGTGTGTGAGACACAAGGCGGGCCCTGAGCGGGTATGCCAATCACGTGACCCAGAGATTCGGGGCGGGGCTGGTCTCTCGAAGACCCGCCGCCCGATTGGTTGGACTGAGCAGAGGGTGGGGCTTGGAGCTAGGTGCTCCTCCGCCCTGGGGGAGGGAAGGGGCCTGGAGCAGAGCTCAGGATGGAGCCCGCGGTCGGCAGTCCGGCTGCGCACTGACAGGCCAAGGAGAACTCTGGACACCGAGGCTCGGTGCTGCTTCCCGGCCGGTGCAGGAGGGCGGTGATGCCCCGGCTCCACCAGGAAGGGGCCCGGCGCTCTTCTTCGGGACGCACCAAGACCTCGCCCCGTGTGTCTCCCTACTCAGCTGGTCCAAGCTTGTGTCCGTTATGATACAACTTGCGGCAGTCGTAAGCTCAGCACTTTCCTGAGTTCTCTGGATCATTCGAGGGGATCATCCAACCTGAGGGGGGTCATGGGAATCCCCAGGTTTGTGGACAGATTGTCAGGAGTGTGGGTGTTCTGAGGTTCCCACTGGTGGCTGGCGTCCTGGCGGGAATGGAGCCCTGACCCCGTGCCTGGTGTCAGAGTTCAAGTTGGGGTCCTAATTGGGACAGAAAAGCGGGGTGAGGTTTTGCTGTGACCATTTGTACCTCTTTTAAAAATATGTTTCCTATTTACAACCAAATAGGTAAGATTGAAAGAAAGATATTTTTAACTCTAGGAGAAAAAAAAAATGGTTGTTCCTGAAAGCACAGTCTAAACCTAAAGCAAAGGAAACTGAGGCAGAATTTTGAGCACTGGATTGAACCAGTGAAAGGAAAAAGCCCTCTTACCATCGATTCGTGGCAGACTGGTCCCTGGGGAGAGGAAATGGGCTGGTGGTACTCCAGCCTGTTTCCTTGACAGCCTATTTCTTTCATCCTGCGTCTATTTTCACTGCCTTGCCTGGAGCACGCAGACCTCCAGCCTACAAAGTCAGGAATGCTGCATCCACCTGGCGAGACGCCGGTGTCCAGGTGGAGGTGCTGAGGTGGGGAAGCGCTTCCCACCTTTCAGAAGCTGCTTTCCCAGTCCGCAGCCGCCAGCCTGGGGCGTGTTTGGTCTCACCTCAGAAAGAAAAGCCTCGTTCAGAAGCAACACAGGAGATGGAGAAGCAAGCGGAACACAGGCAGGCCGTCGAACACCCCTCCCCACCTGGTCCTGGGCAGCCCTCCTCCTGGCTTCTCCTGCTCCCGGGGCATTGTCTTCTGTCCGCGTCCTTCTTTCTCCTCCGGGCCCTTCTGCTGCACAAAGCAGAAAAGGAAAGCGCTGAGCGTGTTGCTTCTCTGGAGCCATCACATGTTGTCACAGGAGATGGGGCCGGCACGGCCACTCGCTTGGGGAAGACTGCAGACCCGCGCGGTGATGACCGTGCTGGGCTGGGCTCGTGTTTCGGTCCCTGGCTCGTCAGCTTAAACCCGGCGTGTTCTCTGAGCCCATCACCCATGTCTGCTGGGCGTCGGAGTCATCCTTTCCTGCAGGTGAGACTGCCCACCTGCTGGTGGGCTTCTGGCCCCCCCACCCGCCTGCTGCACCCCACTCCCCCCGCCCCATCCGCTGTCCATCACAGAGGGAGGCTTGCCAGCCATCCTAGGCAAAGCCCACTGTGGTTGTATCCCGCTTCAGCCACTCAGGCAAGTTTCCCAAGCAACAGCAGGAAGGCCCCGGTGGCCTCCAACGTGGACAGACCCACCCCAGGAGCCCCCAAGCTGCCCTCCGTCGGGGTGTCACCCCTGCTTCCTCTGGTCCAGGTGAGGGACAGCTCTGAGCAGTGGAGGAGAGGCTGGCATCCTCTTTTCATCTCAGACTGTCTACCTGGACACCAGAGCATCACTTCTGCAGGGACATATTCCTGGATCTATTCCTGGCATCACTTCAGGGACATATTCCTGGCATTCAAACAGCCACCGGCCCTTCCGTTTCCACCTGTAGTGGCCTGATCGCTGAGTTCGTGGGGCTGGGTGTGGGCTGAGCCCTGGGAGCCGGTCCCCGGGGACCGCCCTGTCCCCTCAATCTGCTCCAGGAGTCAGACAAGCCGGGGCCCCGCCCTCAGACCTGCCATGAGACCTGACAGTCCTGGTTTAAACAGCAGAGTCTTCAGCTGAGCTGTGAGTTGAGTCCCTCCTTCTTCTGAACTTGATCAACTTTCCAGGATGCAAGGGCCTCACCTGGAGCCTTTGGAGCCGTGACCCTGTCCTCGTATCACAGGGCGGGGCGTCTATCCAAGACGCTTCTACCTTTCCAGAGGGAGCGAAGGACCCATTCCGTGCGCCAGGTCCTAGGGAGGCCTGCACGAAAAGCCGCAGCTCACAGGCTGCTCATCCACTGACCTCTCCTTGAGCCCTGATTCCCTGACTTGGTCCGTCGTCTCCTGCCAAGAAGAACGAACTCACACTGCCCTGTGGGTGAGCGGGCAATGGAGAAGGAGCCTCCCTCGTCGCCCTGGTCCGCAGTGAGTGCTGGAAGGGGACACACTCCTGCTGCCTGGGTGCGTCCAGCTATACAGGCTGTCCTCCCTGCCCCCTCGTGCCGGGAAGAGGACCTCACGCGGCACCCTGGAGGTGTCACCGTGTTGTTCAGTCATGTCCGACTCTTTGCGACCCCATGGACCGCAGCACGCCAGGCCTCCCTGTCCATTACCAACTCCAGGAGTTTGTTTCACGTCCACTGAGTCGGTGATGCCATCCCAGCATCTCATCCTCATAGGTGTCGCCTAGGCTGGGGGTAAAACCTACTCATGGTGCCATCTGCGTAAGTGCTGCTGGAGGAGGCGACAGGGGAACAGTGGAATTTTCCAAGGCATGGAGCATAATGTCTTAGGTCCCACTGGCTGAGTTCACGGCCTCCCCCAGCTCTGGGCAGCAAAGGCAATGACCGATGCTGGAAAAGCTGGCAGGCACCAGACTGGGTCTTCCCTGCCTCCCTCTTCCCATCCTGAAAGCTGCCGCAAGCCTGTAGTTCTGCCTCCAAAGGGGGTCAATGCCAGACAGCCATTTCCATTTAAAATTGGTATGTTCCATTTTAACTGGAGCCCTTCAACTAGTACCAAGATAGCATTTCACATTTAAAGGGTTTCTGTGACAAGATTGTGTTGAGAGTTGACCCTCAGGGCAAAAAAAGAATGAATAAGAGAAGCCAGTGGCCTCCCCCGCCGCCCCCCCCCCCCCCCCGCACCCGCTGAGATTTAAGGTACTGTCTCATTTCCTGGGACAGATATTTCTCTTCCACTGAATTGTTTCATCTCTTTTACTTAGACTGGAAAC